TCCCACTCGAACTTGAAGTCCATGCTCTTGTCGGCTTCCGCCTGGAGCACTTTTCTGCCTGTCATGCCGAGGAGGAAGGGGTGTTCGGCGGCGGAGAGGTAGAGGCCGTGACAGCTCTTGAGGCGGACGACGTGGGATTTGTTGTCGACGAGTTCGACTGTCCAGCGGGCTTTTCGGGAGGCGCCGTTTCGGCTCTGGCGCACGGACTCTTGGTTGTCGTCGGCGACGAGGTACTTGTCGAGGTGGCTGCGGAGCTTCACGGCCTTGGCGGTGTTGAAGAACTCCATGGTGATGATCAAGATCAATGATCAAGTTGAGAGTGATGAAGATGATTGAAATTGATTATAGTTGTGGGATTTTAGTAAGAATAAAAAAATGGAGAAATTGAGGTGATTTGGAAAAGGTTGGTTTGTTTGGAAATTGCTTGTTGGTATTAAACTTGTTCATACATTGACGATGAAGTCATAATAATATTATAAATTGGCATGATGGCGAGAGCAGAAGATGAGAAGGAAATGACGATCTGGGACTTTGTTAATTGACTGAGGAAGATGATGAAGTTTCCTGGTGGAAACAAATTAATTGAGTCCAAGAATACATATGGGGGTTTTGTGGCAGCTCGTGACTTGCAGAAAAATTTACATTATACACGAATAGCACTGTTTTGTTATTTATGACTAATTATGTTATGCTAAGTAGAAACGTTTGGCATAATTTGATTGATCGAAAATAATAAAATAATATTATTCGTGTTGCACCCAAGTATTTCTCCGTGACTAAATAGGGGGATGCAGAATTGACCATTGGATGATTTGTCTTGGCATGCTCGTGATACATGAGTCATGGTAACGCGTCTAAGGGTGTTGTCGTGTCGTCTAGAAGCTCATGTTAGTGGACCGATGGTACATGCCCTTTTGCTTCTAATTCTCTCTGTCAAACAAAGACTGAATTACCTCCGCCACAAAAAAAAGAAAAAGGAATAAAAAAGGGGGATTGATTTACATGCACCAATTCACGAATGAATTTCTTCGTCTCTAGAAACAAATACAATTAATGTATTAAGTGAGTGAAAATCCTCTTAAATTTGTCACTTGAGAGGTTATGAACCTAGATGTTTTAATTGGAAATAACGATATCTAATATATTGTTCTTTTTTATACAAGCGATAATTTAAACTATTTTAATATATTTTAATATCAAACCAGGATGAAACGGTTTTAGGCCGGCGTACTCTACAAAATATATTGTTGAGCTCAGCTGTCCCAATCCACAAAGAGGTTTTTCATGGGCCATGCATTGGTGTCGCTGGGTCTTCAAGACAACATCAATTCATACATCTGGGCTTGAGGCCTTAACTTCGACAAAACAGTAGCGAGGGCAAAAAAGCTATAAAAAAAAAAAAAAGATTTAAGCTTGCTTGATGTTGAAAGCGGAGACCCCTATGCTCTGCTACTGCACGGCTGCATGTAACCAAGTACAGAAGATAATTGTTTTTATATTATTTCCCACAAATCGACGAGCTTTTTATCATTTCCATGCTCATTCTGGTCTTGGGGCCCCTTACCACTATAATTTTAAAATAAAGAAAAAAGAAAAGAGAAAAGGCTATTCTATGCTTTCACCCTCCCTAGTTTGTCAAATGCTTTCGCATGCCCCCAGTCAACACAAGCAATAAGAAAACAAACAATGTCACATTTTTATTTTATTTTATATATATCTAAGGGACATTTTGGAAAAAGCAAAAGGAGAGAGAAAAATTTTAAAAGAAGCAAAAATGGACAGAAATGCCCTTATTTATTTTTAGATTTCCTAAGGAATCCAATACATTTGCATGTCTTTGATTTGAAAGTTGAATGGTTTTTTTGTCTTTTTTGAAAAAGCTTTGGCTTTTTCCAAAAGTGAAATTTTTTTTATGTCCAAAACCTAAAAAACCTTATATTTATATTTTAACCTCATAATCTATATATAAAGCAAAGGATGAAAAATAATAAAATATTAAAAATATTTAAAAATATTCTTAGTTAATTCAAATATTAAAAATTAAAATTATTAATTAAATAAATATAATATAGTAAATTCATATTTTTTTATATTAAAATTAAAAATAAAATCAGATAATAAGTCATACTTTTATGAAATATAACTATCTATATTATATTTTCTTATTAATTCATTAATTCATTAATCTCCGACCAAAAAACTTATAATTGATTACTCGACGAATATATGCTGACAGGGAAAGACCTCAACCTCAACCTTAAAGCTCAATAATGGAGGAGGAAAAATACAGAAGAAGTTGCTTACCAAAGTAATTTCAGACCCAGAAAGCTAAAGTACGTATGAATGTGATGTTACACCCTAAAAAGTAAAAAAGTAAAAGCATTTATGACTGCTGCAATTGAAAGAGAATAGAAGAAAGAAAAGGAAAAGAAGAGAAACAGGTAAGAAATCTATGAAAATAGAAACAAAGAGGTAAATAAATATTTCAACTCAGACCTCGATCGCCATTCGTCCACCCACCCCTTTCGAGTTTTTTTGTCTTCTCTCCACCTTGCTTCACGTGCTCCTCCTCCCTCCTCTACATCAGATTCAATTCATTTCGAGATCTCATTTTTATCTTTTCATGACTTCTAAAACTACACTCTTTACACTCTCTCATTCACCACATTCCAATTCCCATTCCCATCCATGCCTCCACCAAACTCAACCACTCTCTCAGCAGCCCTTGTCTTCCTCCTGCTGACCATCTTCTCAGTTTCCACAGCCACCCACTCATGTTCTTCAAAACCAGAGGCCTCCTCCTCCTCCACATTTTCATGTCCACCATTCACTTCACCACCTCCCTTTCCTTTCTCTTCTTTACCCGGTTGTGGCCACCCTTTCTTTCAAATCAAATGCTCTGCTCCTCATTCCACCATCACCATCAATAACTTCTCTTTCTCTCTCCTTCGCTACGAACCCAACTCCACCTCACTTGTTCTCTCCCCTCACATCACCAACTCAACAAGCTCACTTACAAAATCAGCCGACACAAACTGCTCGTTCCCTCACTTTCTCTCCATCCCCGACCGCTCCATCAACCTCTCTGCCTCGCCTTTCCGAATCTCCGACGCTTCTTGTTCTCGGCTCTCCGTTCTCAAACCTTGCTCCCCTCCAACTCTTCCCAACTGCAGCCATTGTCCTTGGGAATGCAAGCTCATCAAAAACCCACTCAAGCTTCTCCATGACTGTGGATCTCCAAACCGCCCTGTTACAGCGCAGGGCTGCCAAGGCGATGTCTTGGGCTTTCTCGACAATTTCCTCAAATGGGGGATCGAGCTCGAGTGGGACGAAGCTCAAGACTCTTACTTTTCCAGCTGCAGAGATTGTCAGGTCAACAATGGCTTCTGTGGCTTCAATTCCTCTGACCCAGAGAAGCAATTCCTCTGTTTTCACCCCAGGCCTCGCTTTTCACCACCATGGATTAGCAAAGACAGCCCGAATCGAATCGCCATCTTGTCCTCTGTATTCACATTGGCTTGTTTCCTAATCATTGTCTCAGTCTTTATAGCCATTTTCAGGTCCAGAAGATTAAGCTCCTCTGCCACAGAAGAAGACCCAACAACCTTGTTCCTCCATCGCCACCGCTCGGCTAGTCTTCTCCCACCAGTCTTCACATACGAAGAGCTCGAATCCTCCACCAACCGGTTCGACCCGAAGCGCAAAATCGGAGACGGCGGGTTCGGGTCAGTGTATCTGGGTCAGCTCTACGATGGGCGGGTCGTGGCCGTGAAGTATCTCCACAAGCCCCACCATGGCGCCGCCTCTGGTCGAGCCTTTTCCAACAAGTGCTTCTGCAACGAAATCTTGATACTCTCTTCGATTGACCACCCAAACCTGGTCAAACTCCACGGCTATTGCAGCGATCCAAGAGGCCTTGTTCTGGTCTACGATTACGTCCCTAATGGAACTCTCGCCGACCACCTTCACGGCCCGAAGAGCTTATACCGTAAAGGGTCTCTGACGTGGCAGGTGAGGGTCGACATTGCTCTGCAAACGGCTATGGTTATGGAGTACTTGCATTTCTCGGTGGTGCCTCCGGTGGTGCACAGAGACATAACGTCGTCGAATATATTCGTGGAGAAAGACATGAGGATCAAAGTTGGGGATTTTGGGCTGTCCAGGCTATTAGTGTTTCCCGAAACGTCGTCGTCTACGTCCGGGTATGTCTGGACAGGCCCGCAAGGGACGCCCGGGTACTTGGACCCGGATTACCACCGGTCGTTCCGGTTGACGGACAAGAGTGACGTGTACAGCTTCGGGGTGGTGCTGCTGGAGCTGATATCCGGGTTGAGAGCGGTGGACCAGAGGAGGGACAAGAGGGAGCTGGCGTTGGCTGATTTGGTGGTGTCCAAGATCCAGATGGGTCTGCTCCATCAGGTGGTCGACCCGGTTTTGATAGTCGATGGAAATGTGATCGACGGCGTTGATGTGGCAGCTGAGCTGGCGTTCAGGTGCGTGGCGGCGGATAAGGACGACCGTCCAGATGCCAGGGAAGTAGTAGAGGAGCTGAAGCGTATCAGGAGCCGTACACGTGGGATGAGCCGGGCTTCGAGTTCGAATTTGACTGGTGATGAGGTGGCGAAAGGCTGATTTGATTTGATGGGTGGGTGTACGTGTGTGGGGTCAGATGCACATGTGCGGGGTTTGACTGACAAGCGAAAGTGAAAGGGAGAGAGAGTGTTTGTGTTGTGTCTCATCTCAGCTCTCGGAAGAAGGTTTTTGTGTCGCAGAAAAAGACTGTGGACTAGATAGAATGTGAATAGATATATCTGTTTGGTTACTTTAAGAACTGTGTTTTTTTTTTTTTTCCAGTTTATGGCTTTTACAGTGTATTATAAATTCCAATATTCAAAATCGAAGTTCGGCGTTTTGTTCATGCTTGCGCAAACCCAAGTGCTCATCTCACTAAAACAAACCAAAGAAGGATGAATTTACTTTGAATTTTGATGCAGAAGAGAAAAACATAAATTGTTTCCAAGTTAAGGAAACTATAGACCGATTTTATTTGATCAAATGTACATATTTGTTCGTGTTACAAGATGTGGAAATTTGCTCGTGTCCTCATTTGTTACATTACATGTACAACACCTTGATTCGTTGGCTGTGATCTTACTGGTTATGGGAAATATGCAGTCTCCAAAAGCTTGGCTTTCTCACTTGCAATTGTAGCCTCCTCCCTGCCTGTCAGTTTATAGCCCCTCTCCTGCAAGCAAAACACACTCCTTTAAATGCAACTGTTCTAGCAGAGAATGGTCCTAGAGCTCGTATTCAAATATAAAATTATTAAGCTAAAAACATCTTCTAGTATAGCAGAGATATATACCAGCAGGCGCCAAAGGAAAGGGATCCCTTCTCTTGTTTTGATCCGCTTCTCAATCACTTCGATTGCTAGAATTCGGACACAAAGTCAGAAACAAAATCACCGGGAGGTTTGATGGCAAAAGAATAGCATATACCATACCTTTTGTGGCTTGTCCATTTTTAAGCAACATACAGTACCAGACTTCATTGAATATATCAAGCTGTTCACCTGAGGCTCCAATCATCTTGCATGATAGTACGTAGGCATTAATTCTTTAATGCTCATCTATGTGAAAATAGGCCAGATTAAGACAAGCAAATCAGTTCTTAATGTTAATACCTTGCACTCATCAGCATCGAAGTCAGGACCGAGCAATTCCAATGCTTGTTTTTCATTACCCCTCCCATACTCGTACAAGGCTTCTGCAAGCTGATAACAATGATATTGTGAAGATGCCCCCAACTTCAATAGGAAAGCAGTTCAAATTGATGCTAGAATATGTTCTAAAGTGGTAAGAATCATGGCTCTTTTATTTTTCAATGAAATGATGCTTATTATCTCTAATGCCAACCCGAACTGTAGCAATCATAGTTTCTAAATCATTCTATTCGTTGACAGTACTAAGGAAAAAGTCCTGGGTAAAAGTAATAACACAACTTCTTAGTGCTCATAAAAAGTTCAATGCCTGGGTCCCCATATGAGGAAGATTCAGCAGGTAGTGTGATGTGACCAATGCACATATAAAGGTACCTTTTGAAGAGGCAATGCAGAAACAATGAACCAAAGAATAATAATGATTCCAATATAAAAATTACTGAAGAGGTCACAATCAGAATAAACCTGTATTGGTCTCTGCATTAGCTGTTGCTTCTTCTTCTTCATCTCAGCAATCCTACATGAGGAACAAACTAGCAATCAATACATTGCCAGATAACATTAAGATTGTGGTTGAGAGTGGAAGGATCCTTTAACCTGGACTTCAAGCCCTTGAGCAAATCTTCTGCCTTTGAAATCTCACCAGTATTAGCCAAGGCCCATAAAATTAACACATCAAGATGCCACTCTATATACCAGTTAGCCTGAACAAAGTGGAGCACATTCAGATAACAGAACTAGATTATGAGAGAGACAATAATTAACAGCACATGAAGCATGCATAACCTAGAGAGCTAGCATTGGGATAATAGCTACAAGTTCATATATATTCTTTTTCCAAATCTATGAACCGGAAAAGTAATAAATATTCACCCTTGACACATTATACTGGCCATCTTTATTAAAAGGTGTATTTCGTAATTCTCAGATCTTCTATTCTTTGCTACAAAACGATCACACTTCTTGCGAAATTGAACAGAAACTGAGGTTTAAACATCCCCTCAAATTGCAGATTTCTAGGAATCTCAATTACAGAGGCATTAGGAATCATATTACACGTAAGATTGGTAGGGAATAGGGGTCATGTTCTGTAACTTACTTGATCTGTCACGCAATTTGCTAGGGTCTTCAAACGGTCCTCAAAGGAATCTATTTCACCCCGGACATGCACGCGTAACAACAACCCAAGGGCATTCAAGTACACCTAATTGAACAAGAAGTAAGGAATGAAAGATGCAAAACAGCTGGTCATGTCAAAAATACTTGAAATAAACCTCTGGAGATGCAGCATCAGGTTTCTCCAACTCCTTCCAGATACAATGGTCATATACATTTAGGATTGTTTGGATTGGAGAATGGCCTTCTAAATAACAAAGAGATACATGCCACCAATTGTGTGTGACCCTGATAATCGTAGCACTTCTTAGCATCTAAATATCAAGTGAAGAGAAAAAAAAAGTTCAAATTTGAATAAATTCAATGTGCGTACATAAATGACGAACAAGAATCCCATGAGGACGAGCACTCTTTCATAAACTCTACTGCTTCTTTAAAACGGCAATCATACTGAAGAACATGGCACAACTGCATAACAAATTAAGAACACATGAATTACGACAATGAGTCAAGAACTTAAGCATTAGAAACTTCTTGTGACAACTAGCAGATAGTGATATAAAGCAAACTAGATAATTATAACTCACGTTATGGTGCACCCAGCAGTCCTGCTTGTTGATCTCATATCCCTTTTTTGCAGCTTTCTCAGCTTCTGTCATTCGGCCAAGTTCCAATAAAGGAAACGAAAGCATGCCATATATGTAATTTTCTTGTTCATTATAGGGTAGAACCTGTTAGCAGATTGTTACACGACAAACAAGAAAACAAAACAAGGATTCCCACCAAAAAAAGGTTCCACTAATATCTTAAAATGCTCAAACCCCCAGACAATGTGTGTTTCTATTAAGTCATAAACTATTATCCTTTGGTTGAAATTGCTCAATAATTCATGCAAACATGGTGGGTAAAAAAATTAAGTATTCTCCAGTATGTTCAATGAAGGTATAAACTTCACACATCCTCAACATAGAAATGAACCTGTTGAACAAGATCCAATGACAGATCAGGTCGAGCCATGTAGAAGCAGAGCACTTGGGCCCTTTTCAGAGAGACCAAATCTTTAGGGAAACTTTTCAAGAGCTGCAAAAATAAACGAAATGAAATTTAATGAACAAGGCCTATAGAACAATAAAAGACTAAACTTATATTGAAGTACGGGAGACTGAAGCTTATACGAAATACTTAAACCGCACAGTATTTACTCCTATACTACTCACCTTTAGTACCAAAATCGGGAATATAAGACATTCACCTGTGGACCATTCCATTTTATTTATATAGATGAACAAGGGGAAACAAGCATTTGAAAACATTGTCAAAAACAACTGAGCAAGATTATGCTTCGTTAACAGCTTTTCATGTCTATATTTTTTTTCTTTCTATCTTTTTCCTATCGATTATGCAATTCATTAAGAGAAATTGTATATGAGAAGATGTCTCTAAATCATTATGGCACAGCGAGTTTTATGAGGAAAGTGATTGAGCAATCTGTAAAATACTAAATTGGCATTGAAGTGAAAAAAGTTCATAGTTTGAGGCAATGATCCGAAATATTTATACAGATAAGTAGAACCAAACTAAAGGTGGGCAAGTACATTTCTGGATCATCTGCAATGAATAACAGCATGACTGACCAAATAGTTAACATGGAGTGTGAAAATTGTGGAGACAGTACAATTTAAAAGCTGTGGTAGGAAACCAAGTAAATAGGTATGCACATCAAGAAAGGAAAATCCCCACTAATAAAGAGGGTGGGTAGTGGCCCACCTTAGAATGCAACTCAACAGCAACATCATCATCTCTATTCGCAGAAATCAAACAATTGACAGCGTCAAAAACTGCTTTCTCGTATTGAGTAGCTTGTTCCTGTGCATAACAAATTGCCCATTACACCTCTCCAAGGTTAATTAACAAAAGATGTCAAATTGTTCAACTTCAAACAAGCTTACCAGCCGAGACTTGGCGGCTTGGAGATGAGAGGGAGCTCGAGAAGGATCAGAGGAGCAGAGAAAATGGGCAGCCAAAATGTTAGCAAGCACGCAGTCCTTGTCATGTGACGGTGCCTCCAATATCACCGACCTATGTCTCCCATAACTCAACACCTTCACTCATTCACCAAAAATCCCAGTACCCATCTCAACTTTTGACATACAAAACCAATAGAAACAGAAAAATTGAGTAAAAGAAAGGAGATTTAGACATGCCTGGTCATAGAAATCGTCGATGGCAGATATGCAAGCGTCTGAAGAGGTCCTCACCTCGTAGCCCCATTTGTCTACTTTCACTCCTCCCTCCATTTCCTAACTCTACTCACCTCTTTTTTATTTATGAGCAAAATCTACTCACCTCTTTGAATCAGTAGCTTGTTGCTTAAAAAAACACAGTATTTCTTAGCCAAAACAATGGCGGTGACTTCAACGGAAACTGGGTTTTAGTTTTTTCGCTGTATAATTTGCAAATGGGTGATCATAACATAAAATATGACGAAGGTCTTTGTCAACTGTCGCAGTTGGTTTGGTGGATAGTCCAATGTTATAGCATCAGCGCCTAATCTTTTTTCTCCGTTGTCAGATGCCTTATGCGGTTCGAGTAAGGTGGGGACATAACATTTGGATCTGATACTTTTCAATCACCGTGGACACAATAGCAAAGCCCACGTCGCCTGTGCATTGTTCATGATCTGTAAATATGATTTCGATTTTGTTTTCTGTTTTTAAGTGAAAAAATGGTTTATGTAATTTGCTTTGACATGGACTGGTCGTAAGTGCAGTTTTAGGCCTAAACAAGGTTCAAGTTGGTAGTTTGGGCCTTAAGCCCAATTGTAATTTGTAACTCAAAAGCTAAGCTCACTTTCAACCGAGAATTCTATAGTGAGGGTTGACTCTTCGATAAAGTCTTATCTTTTAATTGTTGGATCAAGCTAACTAATTTAATTCAACGACTGATCAATCTAATCTAATGGTTAAAAGATAGAATCTCACATAAAGGTCATATATAAGGCCCTCACAATGCTAAAAAGTTCAAAGTATCAATTGACAATGGTTATTTAAAATATAAAAATAAAAACAAAAATAAGGATAAATATGTTCTCTATGTAACATTCAAAACATAAAATAGAGACATAAAATAGGCCAAGGCTATTTATCCTTGAAATTGGTAATTACTTGGGAGGGGCAGCTGCCCCTCTCAATTTAGCCGCAAGAATCTTGGCAATCTCAGCAAGCTTATCAGTCTCAGGCATGACATCTTTCACAGCAGTATGTGCACAAAATTTGTCAGCCCAATTGACCAGCCCTGGTGTCTTTGTTTGGTCCAGCAGCTTGACCCCATTCAGTTTCTCTATGACTCTGAGCCACCCCAAGAAGCACCCAAACGCAATGTCAAGGTACCCAATCTCATCTCCACCAAAAAAGTCCTTTCCTTTGCTGGACTTTTCATAAGCTTCCTCCAGCAAGGCCAGCCCTTCTTCCACTTGCTCCACTGCTGCCTTCTTTGCCTCCTCTTCTTGAGCTGCACCTATGCCTTTCAATGATGGGTACCACTGCCAACCACATTTAAACCAAGAAACATTAATTAGTAAAAAGCATTGTAACAATATTCTTTTCAAAACGCTTATGAGTACAAGTGCTTCCTATACAATAGCTAATTTACCTTCTCACTGACATAAGCGGCCCAAAATCGTGCCGTGGCGCGATCATAAGGGTCGCAAGGGAGAATAGATGGGCCAGAGGCCCAAACCTCATCAATGTACTCAACAATGACAAGAGATTCACATATGGGTTTGTCACCATGAATAAGAACCGGGACTTTCTTATATACTGGATTGGATTGGAGGAGAAGCTGGCTTTTCGATCCAAATGTCTCTTGAAGAAACTCATAGTCGACAGATTTGAGGTTAAGGGAGATGCGAGCCCTCATCACAAATGGGCTGGGCCACATTCCCAGGACCTTCACGTCGCTCTTGGTGATGGCCATGATGATCGATCAATCTCTCACAACTCACACTCGAAGCTTTTAATCGAACACTGAGTTTTTGTGTATAGTGTGCGTGGTGGGATGAATTAAACAAGAGAAACAACATGGATTGTTAAGTATGGCTTAGAAAAGTGGCTGTGGTGAGTTTGGTGTCAATGCGTGCAACGACATTAGTTAGGTGCACTGGTGGATGCATGTTTGAAGGGTAGGCCGGAAAATTAAAGTCATTAAGTCAATTCATATTTTTTGACTCTTAACATTGTCCAAAGTCGAAAGTAACCTTAACAAAGTTCACTTAAATTTGTTAACATTTTAGCATGGAAAATTCATTGGAGGCCTTGTTTTTTAGAATAACTGTCATGTAAAGGAATACCACTGTAATCTACTTCAAATTAATTGTTCGTTGTGATATTTTCCTTATTGTTTTCTTTTTTATTTAGATTTACAGAACGTTTGTAGTGAAGTCTGGATCTGTTCCATGACAGACAACAACCATCAAACTTTGGGAGTATCCAAAAAAAAAAAGCAAAAAAAAACCAGAGGATAAATTAAAAATTACACACTTCGAGATGCAATGCAAAAGTGTTCTATATGCGACAGTGTTCAATTAAAATTAGTAAAACTTGAACTAACAACATGCAGATCATGATTTATTTCACATCACATCACATGCATATAAATTTATCATTGTCCATGTAATTACTTATCATTAGAATATTCATTACTTAGGGGGAGCACCTGCACCTCTCTATTTGGCCGTAATAATCTTAGCAACCTCAGCAAGCTTCTCAGTCTCAGGCATAACATCTTTCACAGAAGCAGCTGCACAGAACTTGTGAGCCCATTTGGCCAGCCCTGGTGTCTTTGTTTCGTCCAGCGGTTTGACGCCATTCATCTTCTCTGTCACTCTTAGCCACCGCAGGAAGCACCCAAATAAAATGTCAAGATACCCAATTTTGTCTCCACTGAAGAAGTCCCTTCCTTTGCTAGTCTTGTCAAAGGCTTCCTTCAACAGCGCCAGCCCCTCAGCCAGCTCGATTGCCGCCTTCCTCGCCTCCTCTCCCTGAGCAGCAGCAATGCCTCTCATGGACGGGAACCACTACAAGAAAATGCGACAAACTGATAAGCGAATGAGTCATCAAAAACCAACATGTCTCATTTACCAATTCACAATCAATATACAATCAATGTTCCATTTTTAAGTTCAGTTCATAAAGCTTCATCACTTGGTCTCACAAGCATGAGGACCGTGATACATCAAACTCAATGTCAATGTGTACTCGTCACGCAATATTATCAATTCACTCATTGTAACACGTACATTTATTTTGTAGATTCATATTTTCATAAGTGAATTAATGAAAATACATACTGTGTTGTGCTTGTGGTTGGTGCGAGTCAGCTGACACTCTACAGAAGTTATCAATCTCATTAAATGAAGATATAGATGCCAATATTTAAGCATAACTCATCGGTGGCTGGCTCTTGGTCTTAAGTTGGCCCTTGAAGCGGTTCTTCCACTCTGATCCACGTAGCTGATGTGCATAAACTTTATATGTTTACATTAATGTCGATCTCTTGATTCAGTCAAACAAGCACCACTCATCGGTGGCTGGCTATTGCTATTGGTCTTCCTTGAGTTGGCCCTTCAAGCGGTTCTATTGCAATATTTTTCCTCCCAAATAAGCTTCAGTTGTTGAATTTCTGGGACGCAAGCGCTCCTCTATTTCTATCTTCTTCTCTGCTCATACACTTAACACTCCAACTCTGCCAAGACAGCTGCACCCGGCCAAAGTAAAGTGAAATTTGATGTGAAAATTCATATTAACAGCGACTAAAACTCACATAAGCTTAGACCGATGATTGAATTTTTCCAAACCTAATTTAGGGGGACCATGGTTTTAACAAAGAAGCTTGAGCACAATGAGCACTCAGAAGATCATTTTATTCTTCTGACTTCAAAAAAAAAAAAAAAAAACATGTTATTGGTAATGTAGTGCACATTTGGTTATGCTAGCTCAAAATAGAAAATAAAGGCCCAGGAAAATGCAATAAATATTGCAATTAGACCCTCATAATGAACAATTTCATAATTTTTCATAGTTGTTGAAATAAGATTAGGGGTTCATTCATCTATTGATAACATCAAAAGAAAATAATTGTCAAACTACCCAATTCTCACATGCACATAATTATATTTAAATATAGTGATAATTGATTGCCCTCTCAAATGCATATAATTAAATATTAATTAGGCCCAACGCTGGGTTGAAACCCAACGGGCCGGCCTATTTAAAACCAATTATTAAATTATATTTATTTTAGAGAAAAATAATATATAATATTATTACATTTATATTTTAAATTCAAGTCTATTTCTTTTCTATAATAATATATACTAGCCCAGAGTGTGCCAATTATTTTTTTTATTTTATTTTTGAATTAAAAAAGATAATGGGTAGTTGTATTCCATAAAAATAGGAATCCATTATCTGATTTTATTTTTAATTTTTAAAATATAAAAAAGTGTGAATTTATCATCTTATCCTCATTTAATTAATAATTTCAATTCTAAATTTTTGCATTAAGCAAGGAAATTTGCTGGTAGTTTGAATGTTTCATCATTCTCTACCTTTTGCTTTATATATATAGATTAAAAGCTTAATTATGTATATACCCCTTGTGCTTTCAAACTTGTCTCATATTACCACCCATATTTGCAAACGTCTCAAAGTACCCTCCAACCTTTTAAAAATCGTCTCATATTACCCGTTCCGTTACGAACGTTGGACCCCACTTCGTTTTAACCTTTAACCTCTTCGAATAAAGGTTTCTTAATTCTAACAAAGGGGGAAATTGGGTCAGAAGGGGAAATTGGAGAAGAGGGCTTAGGATTTGTGAAAATTTGAGGTTGCCTTCGATTTTGGGAGAAGCTGGAGATGAAATTAGGGGTTTATAAAACTCTGAGGTGGAGTTTGAAATTGGGAGATTGTGGAGTAGAAGATTTGGGTTGATGGAAACAGGAGAGAAGCAAGGAGAAGGAAGGCATGGCCAATGGTGTCATTGTGGGAAGTTAGCAGGATTGCAGACTTCTTGGACCAGTTCAAACCCAAGGTGGAGATTTCTAGTCTGCCCAAAGTCAAAGCTAAGCATGTTTAAGATCAAATTTTCAGTCATTGTTTTGGGCATCACAAATTGATAGAGTTCTTATTGATGAAATTGTCAGTGATTGATGAAATTGTCAGTCATGTTACCACCCAAATTTTCAGTCATTGTTCTTGGTTGATACAGGGAAGTGGAGAAAAAGGATGTAGGTTTTTTTTTTCCAGTGGTTTGATGCAGAAATGTGTGAGCGTTCAAATTGTTTGATACCTGGTTTGCTGAGGAAGATTGATAAGGTGGAGAAGGAAAATGCAAAGATTCGAGCAAAGTAAAAAATATTATGGGCTGCTATGTTACTTTCCTGGTTGGTTGTGTTTGCCATGAAGATGAATTAGGCATTTTGGCAGTAGTTCAGTGGGCACTGTAATTTGAGAACAAATGTTAATGTAATGTAAGACACTTTGGCAGTAGTTTAGTGGGTAAATTTAATTTGAGAACAAATGCTAATCTAATGTAAGGCACTTTGGCAGAAGTTATGTTAGTGTAATGTAATGTAATGTAATGCTAGTTAAGTTTGTTCATTGTAATTTGTTTAGAGGTTACAAATGGTGACATGAATGTAACGCTAGTTAGTTAAGTAATGCAATGCTAGTTAAGTTTGATATGTGATATGAATGGTAACTTGTTTAGAGGTTACAAATGGTGACATACTGAATGGTCAATTATCCATAACATACATCAATAATCCCACAAACCAAATATAAGCACAAACCAAAACAGGTTCCAAAATAGGTTCCAACCATAACAATCATAGGAATATAAGCACAAACCAAAACAGGTTCCAAAACAGGTTCCAACCAAAACATTCAAGGATAAAAAAAGTCTTCCACAACATGTTTGGACCATTAAATTCTTCCACAACATTCAAGGATGAAAAAAAGGATCTTTGACAAAATGACTCCTTTGTTGATCTTTCATCCTCCTCCTACGTTGTTGTACTCGAGATAGTTTGGCAGGTTCAGATGCTTGAGATGGTTGGGATTGAGAAGCATCAGCTACTTGAGATGGTTGGGATTGAGAAACATCAGCTACTTCAGATGCCTGGGATTGAGAAAGCCCTTGGGAACTGCTTGCTTGTTTTCTTTGCCTTAATTGCATACTCTGTTGTCCGCTACTTTGGTCTCCACTATCTCTCTTTCTTACCTAAAGCAAATAATAATTAGAAGTTTCCAGGATATAAAATTTTGATTAGTGAAAACATGTTGAAACTGTGGCACTTATTGCAAGTTTGTCCTTGACAACTTTCCTCTGCCTAGTAGGCTTTATGTTGGGATTTCTAGGTTTCTAATAACCAAAGTCATCAAGCCAGAAACCAAAACAAACACATTTAAATGTAAAGCAATAAGCCTATAATGACACATACCTTACAACTAATTCGATTATGCCATTCTCCACCGCAATTGCCACACTTTAAAGGGATACCATACCTAGGAAGCTTATATGGATTAGCAGGTTGTGTAGGTTCATCAACAGCTTATTTTCTTGTCTTCTTAGGCCTACCAGGCTACTTGTGGTATTTCGGAAGGAGTAATAGAGGTAAATTAATCTTTATCCACTGATATTGGCTAGTCATAGGCATAATCATTGGTTCATAGGCTCTCAAATAAGCCTCTTTCTTGTACACTGCATCCCAAAAGTCCTCTGGATTCCCATGAAATCAACTTATTACAGCACAAGCATGCAAACATTGTATTCCATTCAAATCCCAAGCATGGCATGAACAAGAGTGCGCATTCAAATCAACAGCAAAGGTGCGGCCACTATGGTGCATTACTTCAAACTTATTCTGTCCAGCGGCCTTAGGAATGCACCACTGAGCTTTTCCTTTGTTTTTCTCTAATATCTTTCTAATTCTTGGCCCAACTTGTCCATGCCATTTCTCACAGAAAATCCTTCTTTCAGCCATCAACAACATGATATACAACCAAATTCTTTCTAGCATAGTTAAAACAAGCTTGTCTTTGGCATCCATTATGCTATGGTTGAATGCCTCACATAGATTGTTCATAAGCATGTCACATTTGGAATCACTCTTGAAATATGCCTTACTTCAATGCCTAGGATTTGTCTCTACAAGCCAATCATGTGCAGGTTTAGACAACTGCAACATCTTTCTCATCTCTGCATGAAACCATGACACTATTGTGGCCCTAGCAATTGCTTCCATTTGATGTTTCAAGGCAAGACCTCTATGTTCCAAAGAGAAGTTTCCATAAAGATGTTTCAAACAATGTCTATGCTCTGCATGAGGGAATAGATCATCCACATCATCTATTAACCCTTTTTGTTTGTCAGTCATAAATACATAACCATGGCCTTTCGTAATATTCAGATCACCACTCAATAATTCTAAAAATCACAGCCACGTTGAATTGCTCTCAATCTCTACATATGCATAGGTAAGTGGAAACATTCTGTTGTTTGCATCAACTCTCATTGCAGAAAGCACTTGCCCAGGGTGAGGCCCTTTGACATGACACCCATCCAAGCAAACCACATGCCTACAACCATCTAAAAACCCCTTCTTGCAGGCTGCAAGACAGATGTAAATTCTTTGAAACCGTGGCCTATCACCTTCCATTTCAGATTTAATGATAACTGTACTTCTCACATTTCTGGTTCTTAACTCATGATAATAATCCACAATACTTCATATTGTTTACTGTAAGACCCCTCTACAATGTCAACTGCCGTGACTCTTGCTCTGTACACAGTTGCTCTAGATGGTTTGTAACCATAATCTTGGTGAACTTGCTCTACAAAAGAAAAAGCAGTCCAATTTAGATTGAGCCTTAACTGCCCCGAATATCTTTCAGCCAACCAGCCAGCAGTGACATGTATATTTTTAGTCCCTTTACTACAAACACGTGTAGGATTAAAGGTTTTTACCTGCAGGTAAGTGCTACCACTAACATTTAAAGCATG